GGGGTGGGGTCATTACATCCAAATGGTGATGGACATGGGACCTTTTGATAAGAGCCAAAGGGCAGGCAGCACATGGGGTACTTAACAGAAGGGGGCATATTCCACCATCTGCAGTCATGCTCAGGCCCTGATCAGCAGACTCACAGGGCCAGGGTTTTCGACTGATGCTGCTTAATTCCAAATTGATCAATAACAAGGCTCCTCATTAGTGATCTCATCAATGAGGAGCAGGTTGACTTGGCATGTATCACCAAGACTTGGCTAGGCCTGGGAGAGCAAGGGTGTTGCCCTGTCAGCAATATTGGCAATAGCCAAGTCCCCAGGGCAGGGAGAGGGGTAATGATTCATCTGGGAATCTCTGGTAGCCATCAGGAGCAATGCTGCACAAATTGCCAGTTGTGAGACCCTGTTCTTGAGGTTAGGATTGAGGGAGCAGTTGAGATTATTGCTACTGCACCAGCCTCCCTGTTGCATAACAGCTTCTCTGCCTGAGTTGCTGGAGCCATCTTGGGGCTGACTATGAAATTCCCCAGATTTACGCTTCTGGGGGACTTCAACTTCCATCCCTGGGTAGACCTCCAAAGTGGCTCCATGATGGCCATGGGCCTCTCCCAGGTCACTCTTGGCCTGACTCGGGTCAGTGGCCTAACTTTGGGCTTGGTGTTGGAGCAGTGGCAATGTGAGTGGACAGAGGAGTTTTGTTTAGCTTCCCTGTCATGGTCAGATCACATCTGGTGACTTTGAGGTTCTCTTGTGCTACCACTCTCCTCCGCAGAGAGACCAGACCCATTCGATTGGTCCACCCCGGCAACTGATGGACCCAATTGGGTTTCAAGAGTGCTTGAGGAAAATACCTGCTGATCTGTTATATGCTCCTGCAGTGGCCCTGGCAGCTGCTTAGAATAGAGAACCTGAAAAAAAAATTCTACTGTTATAAGGAGGCTGATTATTTTTGCTTGGGCAAAAAGCTGTGCTGTTTTAATAAATGACAGAGGAGGCTGTAGTTGTGTGAGATCCAAAACATTTCTCCTGGCTCATTTTTGAAGCATACACAGCCATAATAATTATGATTGTCTGTAACCTCATTGCTCTATATCAGTGGTTCTCAACCTTTCTAATGCCGCGACTCCATAATACAGTTCCCCATGTTGTGGTGACCCCCAACCACTTATACATCACCGGGTGCCAGGGGCGTGGCCAAAAAAAGGGGGGAAAAATGGAGGACAGCTTTGTTTGGCGACCCCCGTGAAATGGTCGTTCGACCCCAAATGGGGTCCAGACCCACAGGTTGAGAACCACTGCTCTATATGATAAGGATCTGTAGTAAAGGCAATGTCCATACAGTGTTTGATAAATACTATTTTATTAATTTAACCAACTGAGTGTTATTTAAAAAAAAAAGAATCACAGTCAATAATCTTCAATCAGTGAATTTTGGCAAATCCATGACTTTATGGGAACAAATAATTCCATTTCACTTAAAAGTAAAATAACTAAGAAAGAATAATGGGGACAACACAGGAAATATTTTTAATAGAAATAGTGACAATGAAATTATATAATGGTTAAAGGACTTCTGCCAAGATAGGTATTTTATTAGTATACTGATTGCCATAAATATCTTTTATATTATTTCATGATAGAATTGCAACATTCAGCCTAAAATACAAAGATTTTTTTTCCTGTGTTGATTTTTGAGTGTTTTTTTTCTTTTTTCACTCTAAAACGTTTAGCATACATTGCTATTTATTTCTTTACTTTTTCCATAGTAGATGGGATGGAAATTAAAACTGTGTGAAGAAATGTTACCTAAAGAATAATGAAAATGACTTTCAGATTAGCAGATAGTATAAAAGATAATGATGGCACTTCTGCTTTGAAGATAGTGATAGCCTCCTAAATCAAAAAATGTTGGTCCATCTAAAATTATTTCTGTATATCTAGAAGCTCTTCTTTACATCATTTCTGGGCTCATTAAGTGGCCAAACAAAACTTGATAAAAGTGGAAACATACTATTGATCTAATATTAATGTATTTTTCCAATGAATATTTTTCTCTTTCATATACAGTACATTCTTGGTCTGTCTTTCAGATCGTCTGTCCTATCTTGGTTCATTGGCTGCTTTGCTGTTGTTAAAGAGGATAAGTCTTCAGTAGTACAGTACAGAAGGCCATTTCTCCAAATTTAGCAGATAATGTAAGAGTCTTTGACCTATTCAGAAACAAGTAGTAATAGTAGAGTACAGGTAGAAGCAAACTCAGGTTGTGCAAATAGCAAGCTGAGCTAGAAGATCCATCTCTGAATCTTCAGTGATTAAAGTCTCAATCCTTCCATTTGGACCATCAATTAGTAAGATAACTAACTAATTAGCCTAATTATTCAGAATTTTTTTTAATTTCCTGAGGGTGTTAGCGAACAGTAATCTATGCAATTGGAAGAAAAGGAGAATTCTGTTCCGAAATGAGGACCACCTTTTTAAAAATTGGAATAAAATTCAATGAAATACAGAGATGGTGCAGAATCCTTAAGTCAGTTAAAATGCAAAGATTTTTCACGTATTAAAAAAAGATGATCCATATTGAACATCCCCCCCCAAAAAAAAACCTCATGTCAAGGCAAAAACAGTTGTTCTAAAAGGAGCAGTTTTTATTATTATCCTTCTTCCCCAATAAGTGTTTATTTTTTTAAATTAAAAGTACCAGCTTGGTTCAACTGGTATTTCGCTCTCATTCAGTGCTCTTTCCCGAAGTTTCAATTCCAGGCATTCTACAGTAGGTGGATATGTTTTGAGTTCAAATTTGTTAGCAAATAGGTTTTTGGATTTCAGCAGCCATGGCAAGTCACCAGTTCCATAGATACATATGCTTCTGACATAATGTCCTGTCAAGGCATAAAATAGCAATATTACAATAACATTTTGTGGACAGAAGAATCAAGATGCATACTTGCACTAAGGTCTTTGCAGTCTAATCCTATTGAAATAAGGAAGATCTTGCAATTTTAATAACACTTGAAGTAAAACAGGCATAGAATATCACATCCTGTTCTCCTTATTCAGAATCAGTATCAAAAAGTAGTTTTGGAGCCTGTGGGCTCTGGATATTCAATTTTTATTAGGTTACATGCTTTAATTATTTGTTTGTTCAATTTATATTACTGTGCACTTACCAGGTAATTGTGGGTGGCTAATAAGGTTTTGTTGAAACCAAAAACTGACTCAAGAGGCTGAAGGAAGAGTTCAACGCTGCTAAGTACAACATAGTATTTTCACTTACAAGTTAGCAAACTAAAGGACTACTCCTTATCCTTGAGACAGGCAGAGTGAGTTCCAGCAAGCAGCACTGCTCTGAAATTATACTTGTGATTTATAGTCAAGCAATAAAAAAATATAGACTAAAGAAAAAGTTTCCGCTCCAAGCAGGTGTGTATAGAAGAATAGGCACATTATAGCTACAAAAGACAATGTGGTTTTCCTGTTTTTCACTAACTAACGGAAAGATTACATGAGCTACTTAAGCCATGTCTATTGACGGTTTTTAAACTTTATTCAAACACAGACACATTTTAAAGATTATTCTGATTATATACTAGAAAGAACTTTGACCTTTAAAGCCCTACATGACATGGGTCCAGGTTATTTGAGGGACTGCTTATCTACCCATCCTGTTAGGTCCAGCAGGAGGAATAGGTTATGGGTCCCATCTGCTAAAGAGTTATATCTGATAGAAGCCAGATAACGTTCCTTTTCTGCTGTGGCTTCTATTATCTGGAGCATCATTTCCCCTCCCCCCCATGAGGTTAGCCATATCCCTGTTAGCCTTTCAGAAGGCCCTGAAAATACGGTTGTTCTAGCAATTTTGGGGATCTGATGGGGAACCTGCTTGATGGTTGCACTATGTTTAGATGGACACTCTCCCACAATCCTATTTTTATTTATTCTGTGTATCTTGTTTGTATTTATTTTTCAGTCTCTTAACAGTTGTAGTATTGCTTTAGCTATTGATTGTACACCTCCCAGAGTCACATTTAGTGAGCTGGGTGGTCATATAAATGCATTTAATAATTAAATAAATAAAACTTAAGTTTTGTTTTATAACAATTTTTGGCGTTATGTCATTAGAGGCACCATGGTTTAAAAGCATCAAATACAAAGGGAAATTATAAAATATACTATACTGGAAGCCAGAGGCCTAACTCACGGGCTTGTACAGTGTTCTGGACTGGTAGGTGGGTGGGGAGGGGGGAAGAGCAGGTTTGTAGGGCCTTGTTAAAAGCCAGCAGGGTTGGGGTCTACCAAAATTCAAAGAGAGAGAGGCTCTTCTCATGATGTAGCTATTTATTATAGACTCTTGTATCAATATTAAGTAGGCTTCTGCTCAGCGTTGCTCTTTGTCTTTCTTTAGGGGCACTCCAGAAATCTCTTCTCTTGTTTCATCACTGTTCTGAAAACTCCCCAAGATCCATACACAAGGAGAAATTACAGAAGTGTGATGCAAATGAAGGCCATCTTCACCTCTCATTTCAAGTGGTGAGTAAGGCCTCGGGCAAATTGTGGAGCGGAGCCTCAGAGAATTCCTCAGGGTCCATTACTGTAAACACCTGGGACGAACCAATCACGTAAGACCGCTCTCCCTGTGATGTGAAGGAGCACCAGAGAAATCTGAAGCAATCCAAGAGTGGCCTGACCATTACAAGAGACAGATGTTATGCCTCTAACATGCCTGCTCTAAACAGATCAAACTGCCATTGCCCCAGGATAAAACTCAGATTTAATATATGACTCCTACTACTGTATGTTGAAGCTGCAGTGATTTGCATCAGGTCTATAGTCAGACTCCAACCTCAGATATGCAAGACTGAAGTTCTCTTGCACCCACAAGTCTGGCAACCCCCGTTACCCACTCCCATCACAGGACCAGGAAAGCAGTTGCACAGGAAGGAGGCAGGCATAGCATCAGCAATCCCATCTGAGCCTCACAAACAGGTTCTCACAGCTCATATTCTCCATGCTTCTGAGAGCCGCCAGAATTTCCAGCATAACAAAAACCACTCTGGCCCTGGAGTCAAGGCTGATGCCATGCCAAAAACTAAGGTGGGCACATCTCCAAGAGAGAAGCATTCCTTTCCATGCATATCCAGAACTTTTTAATTCATAATAAGATTCTGAATGAAAAAGACTGTCTTGGCATTTGCTATGGGTCTATGACAAGTTGCCACAGCCAACTCACTGCAGGACAATTCACCATGGCCAACTTGCCCTGGAACAACTCTTGTCTTTTTTCTTTCCTAACTGCTTGAAATTTCTGCAACTTAAGTAAGTTTGACAATACACTATAATCCTGTCATTCTAGTCACCCATGTTCTGCTGCTTTGAATATGTATTTGAGAGTTTTCTAAATTGTTGTGATTACAAATTTAAAACTGCCAATTATGCAATTTTAAAGTCCATGATATATTTGGAAAACAGGGTGCTGACAGCTAAACACAGAATTGGTTGTAAAAACCTTAACACACGTCACATGTATACAACGTACCAGGGGAATAGAAGTGTGTGTGTAGGGTTCTTTTGGTAAATTAACCTAGTTATTATTTATTTATTTTGCCGAATTTAAAGGCTCACCCAGGTTGATGACGTCTCGGGAGCTTAAAATTAAAACCCATTTAGATGGCCAAACCAAAACAAAAAGTAATGGAAACTAAAAAGAACAAGAAGTGATCATGAAAAACTTTCAATAAAAGCAACAGCCCCTCCCAGGGTGTGGAAGAAGAGCCAGTTCTTCATGAATGACTTTTAAGGATCATGGGGTTGGGACAATTTGAAGTTCTGGAGAAATATGAATCCCAAAGGCAGGTGCCAGGCCAGAAAAGAGATACTTCCTGAGACCTATTAGATGATGTTGTGTCAAAGACAGAGTCAGAGCATGCCTATTCTGTCAGAGATTACAAGGCAAAATGATTTATTGGGGAAAGGTGTTCCCCAGGTAACCAGGCCCTATGCCATGGAGATGATGATGTTAGGGCACTATCAGTATTTTAAAATGTACCCAGAAGTTCACCAATACCAAATGCACCTTGCACAGCAAAAGAGTCACATGTGTTTACTGAGGCATGCCCATAATTGCCCACAAATTGGCCTTCAATGGCAGCCCCACAAATCCTGTTTTTCAATAGTCCAAATGTAAAATGTTTAAGGCATGAGTAATTGTAGGAAGAGAGTCCGGGTATAATAAAGGCTGCAATTGAGAAATCAAATGAATCTGGGCAAAGGTCTCTTGGCCATAACTATTCTCTGCTCTTTAAGCAGAAGCTGATAGCCTAGGAAGAACCCCCCCCCCATACTATGCATTGTTTTTTTTCTGGGGAAATACAAACCCATGCAGAATCAAAATAGCAGATCTCTGATGCCAGGAGAGCCAAAATCCCACAGCCACTTTGTCTTGTCAAGGTTGCTAAATCTGTTGGTCTCCATCTCCAAACACTGGGCATTTCTGGGTTCATGCACTGTGTGTTTCAATCAATGCACAGTATATTTTTCTATAAATCCCTTTAATCTCCATAGCAAACAAAAGGAAAAAAAAGTACCAGAACAGGTTCATGAGAGGCTAAATTTTAGGGCAATGTTAATCTTTCAAATATTAAAAAATGCAAACATTAAAATGATATTCATTTTACCATGGCATCCTCCATGATTCTTTTCTGCATCACTCCATTTCACAGCTCTCAAGTTACCTTCCCATGTTGCATTTGGCATGGCACCAGGGACACCTGTGATTTGAAGAGAAGAAAGAGAAAGATATTATAAGTTCTTATTCTTAAAATGCCAGGTAAATTGCAGGTGGATCTTGTTTAATGATCATGTGATCATTTGAACTAACGATGGTGCTGAATAAGTGGTTCTTATGACCAATCCTTGTACTTGTGATTATTGCTACATCCCATGTGATTGTGATTTGCAACCTTCCCTGCTGGCTTCCAACAAGCAACTCAATGGGGAAGCTGGCAGCAAGTCACAGTTCGCAAATGTGTGAAGTCCACACTTGATCACATGTGCAGTCCTTGCTTAACAATGGCCACTGGGTCTGCTGGAACTGCCATTGCTATATGGAGTGATCGTGTGTTTCTGTTTACTTATGACTGTGTCACTTAATGATGATGTTTCTGGTCCCAATAGCATAATTAAGCAAGGACTATCTGTATTGCTTTTTAAAAATCTTCTTGTCATAATCTGGAATGCAAATTTGGAGAAGCAGTGGGGGAGTGTTGACAACAGGGAGCTTTCCCAGAGAATCCCAGATTAAGAGAGCTTACAGTTCTGGGCTGGATGGGGGAACACTGAGGGAAAGAGGTTCAAGGCAGACATACCTTAGAACAGGACTTCCCACACCCCGGGCCATGGACCGACTCCAGAAACTGGCACACCAGAAATTGGGTCGCCCAAGGGAACGTAGCCCCATCCGAGCATGCATGGGATGCAGAAGGTGTATGAAACCACGCCCCCTCTGGTCTGCAAAAAAAATCTCAACAGAACCAATGCCCTGACACTCAAAAAGTTGGGGGCCACTGCCCTAGAATCTCTCAAGATATATCAGTAGATTAGTAGGTTATAGCTAAGTGTAAGTGTAAATAGGTGTAAGCAAATAAAGAATGGGCACAATATACATTTAATTTCTCCATTCTCCCTAACTTATTAATAAACTGACTTAAATATTAATAATTTAATAGTATAAATGTAATAAACATGTGCTTATAAGTATAGTTTAAAATAGGAGAGCTTTGGTGAAGGGTGGGTGGAGTTTTTTGCCTTTTGCATATAAAATAATTAATTCTAAAAAAGCATCTCTTTCATCAGAAATCAGGACCATGGAAAGCTCCCAGTTGACACCACTGATTTTCCAAGTTTGGCCTGTGGAGAGGCACACTGGCTGAGGAATTCTGGGAGTTGAAGTCCACAAGTCATAAAAGGGCCAAGTTTTAAGACCCCTGCATTAGGACATCTGCCATACTCCCTGAATGTTCACAGACTAAAGCCCACTTACCATTTCAGCCCCACCTCTTTGCAAGTGTTGGCAGCCAGCTGGTAAGAACTTGCTCCTTGCCTTAAACCCACTTCCACATGAATGCCAACAATAAGCTGGTGACAATCTCTTCCCTAGCTCAGTTCCTGGCTCCCTACATGCCCCAACAGTCATCTGGTTCACAAGAATCTATTAAGGGCTAAAAAAAAAAAGCCTATCAACTGAAGCATAAAAGTAACAATACGTATGGCAACACAAGTACTAATATTGAAAAAACTGCATTAGTGAATCAGTGTTAAGAGCAGTAGCTTCATAGGTGCTGTACTAAGGAAGTGTGTTCTCATATCAGCAATCCAAAAAGAAAAACTACAATTGGGAAATGAAACAACTAATATTTAAAAATGGGATTTCACTGGGTTGGAGATCAATTTCATTTTAATTCTCCGTATTTAGTAATTGCTACTCAGGAATGTTCTTGGCCAGCAAGTTTATGCTAAGACACGCTAGTGTGCTAAGATTATTACTGCATCAAATAATTCTAGTGGTAAATAAATACTTATTCCAAATAGAAAACTTGGATTAAAAGTCCTTTAAAAATGAAAGGGGATGGAATGCAGGTACTAATGCAATCATAATCATTATTTTACTTGAAAAAAAAAAGTGAACCCCCATGCTTTTAAAGCTGAAAATGTAGACAGTGAGTATTAGTTTAAGAGGTCACTCCTCCATTTAAAAAAAATAGTCATCCATGAGCAGAGAAAGTTTGAGAAATATTAGACTAAATTATACAAATAACGTATCATAATAGGAACCCGAGCCTGTAATGAGACAACAACCCTAAAGAAGAGAGAAGAAAAGTATTGGAGAGAAAAAATGCCTGCATTTGTTTTCTTAAAGTTAATCAAAAAGACAGATAATTACTAACATCTCCATTGTTCTCAGTGAAAATAATTGCCATAGGTATGTAAAGCCTATTATAAAGTTTCCTAAAAATGATATCATTTAAGGGTTTTTGGCTTATAAAATATCCTTAGCTTCTGTGAAATTTAGGACACAGATGGATACTGAGGGGACACTTTAAACCACTATTAGCATTTGGATAGGAAGCATGGAAGAAAAAACTGAGATAAGTGGTCGGGGTACCATTCAGATTCCCCCAAAACACCCCCCTCCCCCCATCAAGAGCTGTAACAAAAAAAGTTCAACAAATGTGTGTTTGCTACAATTGTTACAGAGAACCAGTTTAGTGTAGAGGTTAGGGCATTTGGCCTTAAGCACAAAGCCACCTGAGTAACCTTTGGCCAGACACTCTCTCATAGCCCTAGGAAAAAAGAAATTTCAAGCCACTTCAAGAACCTTTGTTGAGTAAATTGCGGGAACTAAACCAGGCAGTCACCAGGAGTCAAAAACTGACTCTAAGGTGCACACATACACACACAGGGGCATGCGTGCGCACACACACACATTAAGCACTGTACAAAAGCATATACAGTAAGGAATTAAGTACCATTCGGAATATATATGGAGAAACTACTGGCATTTCATAGACATGTACTAAGATTATTTGCAACACACAGTTAATATAAATATGGCCTATATACTGCACACACACACACACACACACACACACACACACAAAATACCTTAGCAGCTTTCTTTTAAGTCCAAAATTCTGTTTCCTTCCTGAAGTAGAAACAGATATCCTGTATTTTCCAGAAAATATTAACAACAACCAAACTTGCCGACACTGCAGAAAACCACAGTGACATGGAACAATAACAAAGGCTATGAATCCCCTGAATTATATTAATAAACAATCCCTAGATAATATTTCTAAATGATTTGCTCTCTCCACTGCGAAACCACACATTTCATATAAAACTTTCAGCAATATCAAAATTGCTGAAGAAAATTATTTGTTAGCAGAATAATTTAAGATACATCTTACTTGAGAAAAATTCTAGGGGTTGCAACATTATACCTCGCCACAAATTAAAAAAGAATGGCGGCTTAAGATCAGGTGGATGCTATGGAAATACAGGCAATCCTCAAATTATGACCACAATTGAGCCCAAAATTTATGTTGCTAAATGAGACATTTGTTAAGTGAGTTATCGACTTTGGTTGTCAGAAGGTTACAAAAGGGGATCACATGACCCCAAGACCCTGCAACCGTCATAAATATGAGTCAGTTGCCAAGTGCCTGAATTTTGATCATGTGACCACGGGGATGCTGCAACGGTCATAAGTGTGAAAAAGTGTCTTCAGTTACTTTTTTCCGTGGCGTTGTAACTTTGAACAGTCACTAAATAAACTGTTGTAAGTGGAGGACTACCTGTATGAGGTTTTTGGATATAAACAATCAAGGGACATTTGCTGAGTCATTATTTGCTAAATATCGCTGTCTAATTATCAGCAGGAATGGTAAGATTGAGAAGATCCTGACACAGTAACCCTCCAAAAGGATCCCCCTATCATGGATAACTAGAAACTACATGGATCACTTGATGCAAGGGTTTGTCTTATGCAAGGATACACACTGGTACCAGCACATACATCCTCCCCCACCCCCCTGCATCAAGTACTTCCTGTAGATGTCACAACAGGCATTCTGACAATCTAATTGTCAGGAAAACTGTCATGTCAAGAACAAGATCAGGTACCTGTCTAAGAATGCCAGGAAGTGGCCTACGACATGCAGGAAAACTGTTGTATGTGAATCTACAATTGCAATTTGTAGAGAGATATGGAGAGAGGGGAGAAGTACAGTCCACTAACAATGGCTAATGTATGCTCTCATTTGTTATCTGTAAAATAACTATGATACTGGTACAACCCAAACAAAAAGCATCAGTCAAGCATTACTCTAAAAATAATATAGTATTTGCCCATGAGAAAAGTTTTGATGAATGGTGGGTAAATGTTTGTAATAAAAAAAAGGCTTGCCAAAATGGCAGTGAATTTCTTAGCAAAACTCTGAAGAAGTTATTAATAGCAGAAGTATTATGTATCTCTGAAAATTCTTCATTATATATATATATATTTCTACATAGATTGTGTTTATTGTTTTTCTGAAATCCTATGTGTGCTCTTTGGCATTCTGTGACGTATCATATCATACAGTAAATACAAACTTAATACAGAAGTATTTTTATCAAACGTAAACTGGACTTTCTTGATTTTTTTTTCCTTTGAAAATGTTTTACTTCTCATCAAAAAAATCTTCAGTCAGTTCAGGTCAGTTCAGAATTGAAGAAGCTTCTTACGGTAGATGAGAAGTAAAATTTTTTCAAATGAAAAAAACAAGGAAGTTCAGTTGCCTTTTGAAAAAAAAGCATTTTGGGGGCAATAGTGACCTGGATGATTGAGAATCTCCACAGGCATTACTATTAAAAATTTCTCTCTCTCTCTGTGTGTGTGTGTGTGTGTGTTTTACTGCATGTCTACTCTGCTCTTTCTCTTAGAGCTCAGGACCACATGTCTGGGGATTCCTCTAACGTTAGCTTCATAGTATCAACTCTGAAAAACAGTTTGACTGAAACTAACCACAAAGTCACACTATTTTTATCTCACTTTTCCACTGTGTGTAGAGAGACACTATAATGCTTTTGAAGATTTACAGTGAGAGAAAATGGGCTTTCTGAATCACAGTTAAATGCTAAGCAGGAGTGCCTTTCTAAATCAGTGTAGACTGTATCAGAACAGCAGTGGAACAGAAGATACTATGTATGAAAAATGTTTCAGGGGAAAATCCCAGACATTTCTTTCCCTTTTCTGCTTTTTTTTTCATGAAATGTAACATTTCTTCAAAAAAAAAAAAATGAAAAAAAGTTAGACTTAACTCTAGTTAAAAATTAGATAGAGAAGCAAGTAAAAGCATTTTGCTGTTTTCTCAAGCAAGTTCCCACCTTCCTGAAAATCAATACATGGATTTTATGTAGTCTTCTTGAAAACAAATGGCTGGAACTGTCACTCATTTCCGTGGCTGAAATTGAGTGATATATGCATGGGAGAGTGGAAGCTCTTGAATCTCAGCACATTACAGGGTATCCACAAAAGAATGACCCCTCAGCAACTCCCTCTAAAACACTTTGCCCATAAAACCCAATTTTCAAGTAACTAACATCTCCATGCCTGAGTTTAAGGAGTTTCACTGAAACAATCAACAAGGAAAAGGTTATCATTAAGATTCTTTTTCACCTTTTCTCTCGCTGTGCAGAGTTGACTTTTCATCTAGAGTTTCACCTGATGAAATGCTATGATGAATGTTCAGTTGCATGGAGATATCTCGTCTGAACATTTAGTGATGGTAGGAGTCACTTTTCCCTTTGGGCGCTAATTTTAGTTTTGTAATCAGTGAAAACACCCAGAGCAATGAAAATAATAAAACAGAAGCTCTGAAGAAGCCTGACCTGTTTGTCCAGCCAGCCCAGATCCCAAGAAAAAAATGAGGTGTTTTTTTTTTAAACCAAAAGTTATCTAAAAGATAGACAGGGCACTCTTTTTAAGTAGCTATGCTTTGCAATGTTTCTGCCTCTGAGGTAGCCTCTAGGTAGGATCCAATTTTATAAGGTTAGCTTCTTGCATGGCTAGGCTATAACATAGCAAGTGACAATGGCCCATACCAAGAGTGGCATATCTTTAGGCCAGGGGTAGGCAACCTTGGCTCTTTTATGACTCGTGGACTTCAACTCCCAGAATTCCTGAGCCAGCATGGAATTCTGGGAGTTGAAGTCCACGAGTCATAAAAGAGCCAAGGTTGCCTACCCCTGCTTTGGGCAAAGACTGAATTGACTTGCTAGAATGCCTGTCATGGTATCCTGGGTTCCAACTTCTGTTCCGTTACGAGAGTGATGAGAATAGCAGTCAAGCACATCTAAAAAGCATGAGTTCAGAGAAGGAAAAAAGGATTGTTGTATGCTGCCATCCTATATTTCTGTATTTAACCAAACATATAACCTATTTCTCTTGCATACTTAAAGGGGAAATTGCTTTCTCTCATTAGTATTAGACAGCATCCATTTCATCAAGTCTGCTGTAACTTCTGGATTGTGACAAAAGCAAGTACAGGTAGTCCTTGACTTATGACCACAATCGAGTCCAAAATTTCTGTTGCTAAGTGAGACATTTGTTAAGTGGATGTTGCCCCATTTTACGACCATTTTGCCACGGTTGTTAAGTGAATTGCTGCAGTTGTTAAGTTGGTAACACAATTGTTAAGTGAATCTGGCTTTCCCATTGACATTGCTTCTCAGAAGGTCACAAAAAGGCGATCACATGAGCCCGGGACCCTGCAACTGTCATAAATATGAAGCAGTTACCCAGCATCTAAATTTTAATCATGTGACATCAGATGCTGCAATGGTTTAAGTGTGAAAAATGGTCATAGGTCACTTCTTTCAGTACCGTTCTCACTTTGAATGGTCCCTAAATGGATTGTTGTGAGCCGAGAACCATCTGTACCAATATTGTATTTCTTTACATTGTCCTTATATTATTTTTTGGCATCATTTTATAAAGCTTTTGATCTGTGAAATGTATTATGGTCAAAACATTCATTTCAAACCTGTCTTCATGTTAAAACTTTTCAATTGTCAAGAGCAATAAATTTTCTGAGGGGAAATAAGACAATTCTATGTTGTTAAAAGAGTCCCAGAGCAATTTGTGGCACTATTAATCTTGCTGGTTTGCCACTTTGACCACCACAACACTTCTTTTATAAGATAAGATACTTCCTTAAAAATCCAGTTTGTCCATTAGTCCAAATTCTGGAGATCTCTGATATGGGAGAACACTGTTTTTAAGAGATGAAACTGAGGTAGATTTTTTCCCCCTCCCCTTGAAAATGCACTCTTATGTCTTGTTCTAATACACGTTGGCTCAATTCTACAATCCACTTAGTTTACACACAAAGGTGAGATACCTCCATTTATTTAACTAATTTTCCAAAACTAGTAGCATTGACTGTATCTTATGGCAAATCAACAAGCTAAGTAAAATAGGTGAGGGTGGAAAAATTTGGTTTTATCTTTGTTCTTCCTGTTCATAGTCAATGTTACTGAGCCACATCAAGTTTCAGATGATGAGGCATCTGAGGAGTTTACTTCCTTTCTTAGCACATCAAGTTTTATCAGACTTGTCTTGCATCATAAGAGAAGAAATAAGAAATACGAGAAGAAAAGGAAGAATGAGGAAAGATGATAACAATCAGCATTCATACAAAGACAATCAGGAATTATTTTCTATTGCCACAGAAACCAGGGTCAGAAAGGATGGGTATACATGCAACTACCTAGATTTTGTTTAAATATAAGTAAAAACTTCCTGATGGTGAAATCTGTCCAACAGTGAAATAGTTTACCTCCGTAGATATTGCAGCAGTTTTTAAAAGTCTGAAAAATTACCTGTCCTTTTGACCTTCTCCAATTCTATGATTTTGAGATTCTTCAATTCCCTGAAGAATTCTTTTCACACTGGCAGAGACATTGGTAAATCTAAAGCACGCCTCAATAAACTGCCTAGTCCTTTGACAGGTGCTTTGGAAATTCTGTGGCTTACTTTCCATTGACCTTTAAAAAGTGAAATAGGTTTACCAATTCATAGGATTAAGGCCATAATTCATAAGATTAGTGGCGTGTTAACAAAGAGCTTTCAAACAAATTCCACTACATTTCTCTAGGCATATTTTGAAACAAAATATTTCTTGCGATTATTTATTAGGGTGGAATTTGTTACAAAGTAGCTAACCATTTGATCTGTGTCCAGATAATTATTTCTTGTTTTTGTTGGGTCCGTGGCTATAATTAAATGGGGAACAAAGCCCTGGGGGTTGGAGAATACAGTCATATAATTGCAAGATTTTATTGAATAGTTATCCGTGGTTTGGCTGAGCAAAATAACTTCCATGGATTGTGGATCACTTTGTCAGCCAGTGTAGAAATCAAATCTCAGCTGGTTTAGCATTGCTGACATCAACTAATAACTGCTTCTCAGAGTGTCAAGCATGTGTTCCAGCCATCCCTGAATATTTCAGACCTTGTCATTTGCTTGCTAACTGAGGTTGGCCCTTTGCTGTTGAAAAGTGAAAGAGCCAAATATTTTTGAACAAATATGACCCAGAAATTAATTTAAGGAGTGTCTGTCTTTTTAGGTAGACTGTGTTTAAAAGATGTTACAGAAAAGGAACAAGTTTTACTGGACAAGATTGAGACTGACCTGAAAATGGATTTAAAAATGACAGGCTACAAGAATGGTATGGTGAAAAGTGCTGTGCTAAACATACAAATGAAACTGGTTGATGTCTTAATAATTAAAAGGAATGTACACATAACAAACCAAGAGTGAGCTAGATAATTTACCTATATTGGATTTAGTTTTGCAGAATTTTGTGAAAAGGAACAAAGAAAAAAATGAAAAGAAATCAAGTTCTCGAGCATTATTTGAAGGGATTAAAGATCAAGATTGTTAAAAAGCATATAAAATTGGTTGATTTGATCAAGATCAGAACAGACATATTGTTATCTCTGGTAACCCTTAATGGGCTTTTGCTGATTAATGGTGCGACTTAAATTATTTGCTTATAGATAAGGGAAGAAGATATCATACATTGTATTTTAAGAAAAGGTGGTAAGTTACTAAAATTATACTATTTGTGATGAAAGGGGAAATCACTTCTTTCTTTTTCTTTACTATATTCTTTTTTTCTATTTTTTTTTCTAATTGGCATTAGTTTTTATCTTTTCATTTGTAATGTTTAATCAAATTACTATATAGAAATGAAAGAATCAGAGATTAGTAACTACCTGGAATCCGATTGAGTGTTACCCAAAAGTGTTCATCGGGACTGTAAGTGTCTCTGGACCATTTCAGCAAATCAATGGCCCTGGAGTCATTGAAAAGGAACTCCACAAAAGGCCTAGTGAGAGCAATATAGGCAGACCCAAAATAGATAGTGAGGTTGTGGGGAGGTGGCGATTTTAGGATCGCAGTCCTTCTCATGTAGGAAGCTTGCTTGCCTATGTTTTCCTTGTAAACAAACTTGGTCCTTAAAGTTATTGAAGGTGGGGGGAGGACGCCAGGGGTGATGTTCTTCCCTTTAAACTTTTTCAGGTGCTGGACAATTTCCTTGTTCGTTTTCAGCGGGAAATCTTGCCCACACATGTTGAGGACGTACTTCCACCGGGTGGTGGATCGCAGCAGGTCCTTCATGCAGTTCACATCAGCCTGAAGCCTGGAGATGCCGGCATAGACCACCGGCTCGGCTTTGGAGACCAGGAAGGCATTGGGGAAGCATTCCAACACTTTCTCCACATCTTGCTTGTACCTGGTGGGCGCTTTCTCATCCACGTGGATGCAGTAAACATTGTGGGGGGCGTAAATCGCCCTGAAGAGCCGCTCGAAGGTCGCCAGCTCTTTGTGGAGGGTGAAGATGTAGGCCAAGGGAAAAGCCGCCTCTTCGGCAGAGACGGGTCTCGTCACATAGTGGCTCCCCGTCACGTAATCTTCGCAGGAGGCGGCTCTGTCGAAGGACGTCCGGAGATGATTTCCCCACACGAAGGATTTCCGCCCCTGGGCCAGAGCCCCACACGCACGGCGGAGGAAATCGCTCTCCCGGAGCCGTGGAAGCCCGGGTAGTCGAGGCGGCGGCGTCTGTTTTGAGACCGGGGGAGGTTGCCCAAGCAGGAGAAGCAGCAGCGCCGAGAGACCGCTCAGCAAGAAGACCGCGAAGATGTACGGAGGCTTGCCAGACCGCATAGTCTCCCGGGGACGGGCCAGCCCGGAGTAGGAGACGGACCTAAAGCCCGGAGGTTCGGCGGCGGCGGCGGCGGCGGGTCCTCCTTCCCCGGACGCCCAAACGATGCATTCAGCCCACCAGACTTTCCGCTGAGCCGCCGCGCCAAGAACTCCGAGCGATGCCTTTTTTCCCCCTCCGTTTCGCTCAGCCGGTTGCTAAGCAAAGCGCTGCAGCCGTGCCCAGCCCGCGAGGCGCCGGGGATCCAGGGCTACCTAGCGGCAGAAGGTGCCGCACTTGCGTCCCCTCGAGGCTGCCTCGCCGGACCTCGCCCGACCTCGCTCGGCCTCCCTCGAAGCTCGGCGACTCAGCCTCGCCCTGGGAAAGGAACTCATGCGCGTCTCCAAAGGGGGCTGGGATTGGCTGGTGCCAAGCGCGCCTGGCTTCTCCACCGCCCGGGGCGGGGGCGAGGGCGGGCTCAGCAGGTAGCGCTGTCCATCAGCCGCTTCTTCCTTCGGGCTAGACCTCGGCCGGGCGGCTGCGCCGAGAGGTCGTGCGCTTAATCTGCTCTCTCGGGTTCCCGCCAGACGGGTAGCTGGTCTCGTGTAGTCTAATTTGACACGCCAGTCAAAGAGCGGCAGGTTCGCCTCTGAGTGGACTCATACTGAGATTGACGCTGACCAGGGGCGTGGCTAGGCATCCGAAGAAGATGGCGCGCGGCGCTGGCCGCCCCCTCCTCGCTCCAGCTACATATCTCTTAATTCAGTCAGTTTACTTTGCTGGGTGCTTCGTTAGAACGTGAAAGTAAATTAAGGTGAGTGAAGTTAGCCCAGAGAAGGAAATATTAAAAGGGCAGAAAAATATATTTTTCCTCAAAAGGATTTTTTAAAACCAAACCTGGCCCCAAATCTATCTCTCTGCCCCAAGCAAGAGCTAGCCCCATACAAATGCAGATGTAAAACCATCAGAAAGTTAAAAAGCCAGAGCACTCAAGAAGACAAAGAGAAAATCTGCATGCCCCACCTAAACTCTAGGAGTCATTAGCCCCATCACCTGGGAAGCAGAATATGATAATAGCATTAAACCACAGATATCAAGGCCTGGAAAAACACTCAGAAATAGCCTCAAGGTTCATGCCACAGGAACAGGAAACTATTCCAAGCAAGGCTAGAGGGGGTATAAAAACCTACTGCCCATGTGCTCAACTCTTTCTTTCTTCTCCTCTGCTTTTTCTTGCAAGGACCATCTTTCTGCTTCCTCAATAAACTGTAACCTTCTTCCCAAAGCAGTCGCCATGTTACTTATTTATCCCCGGCTTGGATGAACCAGGATGAAGACTTACTTCTGACAAAGGGAACGAAGATCCAAGTTTATTTGGAAGAGTAGAAGAAGGTGTGAAAGGCGCCACTCCCCAGTGCGGAAGAAGATGTAAAGGAGGTGTGTGTGTGTGTGTGTGTGTGTGTGTGTGTGAGAAATAAATAAAAAAAGCGCTGCCCATAGGCGGAGACACACACCTGAGATGGACTTAATTTGGTGACTAATAAAACCATTTGAAAAAAAGAATTGAAGCCGGATTAAGCATGCTTGGGGTGGGGAGGAATAAGTAAAAGGCTTTGGCAGGCTGAGCAAATGAATAAACCGTCTAAGAAAAGGTCACATCAAACAGACACAGCTCAGTTAGCCAGCAAAGCTGATGGTAATTCTCTACAGATTATATGTAATCATATATAGGCTACAGATCATATTCTAGAGATAAGCAAGCCTTAAAGAATATCTCTAAAAATTGAGGCTGGGTTGGCAGATCCTGTGTATGGGATCGCAACAGGAGAAATAATTTAAGGATTAAAGTAGCATTAGAGGAAACTGACATAATCAGTTGGATTTCTTGCCTTATTTCTAAGATTAAGGACCTGAGCGCTGATTTGAATGCAATAAAGACATTGAATGGGATCACAGGTTAACTTTCCTAGGAATATGCTGAAAGCTAGATATATTTGGACCTATTTGTTGATTCAACAAAATTATAAGACAATCGTGTGAGCTGGAGAAGATTAAATGGGCGGTGAGAGAGAGTCTTTCTCAGATTTTGCATGGCTGTCCTGCAGTGAAAAAATGAATTTAAGCCACTGGCAGAAAAACCTATACAGGATGAGATTCTTTTACAATGATTTCCTATCAAGAGAATTGTTGTCATGTCAAAAGGATGAAAACTTACTTCAACTTCAGTGTGTTCGCGCTTAAAGAAAGGGTGAAGGAAGGAATTTAATCTGTCCTTCAATTTGTGGAAAGGGTTTCTGAGCAAAGGAAATTATATTGAGAGCATTAACCCTTTTTGAGTCTTTAGATTTAAAGGAAACGAGGGAGTTGGGTTAACGGGGGGGGGGGGGGAGAAGACCAATAATAATGTAGGTTTCTATAAATTTGCTTAAAACACAGTTTAATATGTTAATGGCTGTTCAGGCAGCAACTAACTTACTATATATGAAACATAATACATTTTGTAATGCAAATAAGCCAGGGAGGTGGTTGGCTTATCAATTAAGGAAGAAACAGAAGTCAAGAATTATAGATAAAATAAATTATAATGGAAAAGTGGTTTTTCAGAAAGAATTGATTAAAAAATCTTTTTTAGATTTTTATACAAAATTATATAAGGGTAAGAAGGTACAGAGTTTAGATATAGATAAATATTTACAAGATGCTCATTTTCCCAAGTTATCAGATGATCAAAGAGATGAGATTAATGGATTTATTACTGCACAGGAAATTATCATGGCAATTAAACAATTAAAAGCTGGTAAAGCACCTGGTACTGATGGATTGACATCAATCTATTATAAGACTTTAAGTGATGAGATGATAGAGCCCTTAAAGGAACTTTTTAATAATATATTATTGGGTTTAGAGACTCCCCCGTCTTGGGGAAGGGCTTTTATATCTTTGATTTCAAAAGAGGATCAAGATCTTACTTTACCAAAAAATTATAGACATATATCTCTTTTGAATGTAGATTACAAATTTTTTTTAAAAATTTTAGCCAATAGACTTATGATTGTATTGAACCAAGTGATACATATGATTAAACAGGTTTTATAACCGGGAGATATATGAAGAATAACGTTAGACAAATTATTAACTTAATAGAATATTTGGATAAAAATAATCAGATTCCTGCAGCATTGATTTTTTTTAGATGCTGAGAAAGCCTTTGATCAGGTTAATTGGCAATTTATGATAAGGTTGGTTGAAGAGATGAATTTTGGAGATAAAATTTTGCAAGCTCTTCGAGGTATTTACCAAAGACAATCGGCACAACTTGTAATTAACGGAGGTTTATCTGAGGTTTTTCAAATTGAAAAGGGCACAAGACAGGGTTGTCCATTGTCTCCTCTGTTGTTTGTTTTAACATTGGAAATTTTGTTGATTAAAATTCGTGAATCATCTAAAATAAAGGGAATAATGATTGATAAGAATGATTATAAATTAAGAGCTTTTGCAGATGATTTGGTTGTTACTTTGTCTCAACCAACTTATTCTGTATTGGAGTTGTTACAGCTGATAAATCAATTTGGACATGTTTCTGGTTTTAAAGTCAATAATAATAAAACTAAAATATTACTTAAAATATGACTAATTTGGATAAGGAGACGTTGGTTAAATTGACGGGCTTCGAAGTTGTAAAAAAGGTCAAATATTTGGGGGTTTATATAACTGCTTCTAATGTAAAATTGTATAAAAATAATTATGAAATGTTATGGTCTAAAATACAGAAGGATTTGAATGATTGGAAAAAATTGCAACTATCTTTGTTAGGGAGAATTGCTGCAGTCAAAATGGATGTTTTGCCAAAGTTTCTTTTTTTGTTTCAAATGATACCTATTCTAAAGAAAGAGGCAAATTTAGAAGAATGGCAGAAGGGTATCAATAAATTCATTTGGGCGGGGAAAAAACCAAGAGTAAAGCTTAAAATTATACAAGATATTCGAGAGAGAGGTGGACTCAAGGTGCCGAATTTGAAATTGTATTATGATGTGGTGGTTTTAACATTGATTAGTGATTGGATTATTTTAACAAATTTAAATATACTTTTTTTTGGAGGGATGGGATTTATTATATGGATGGCATGCCTATTTAATTTATAATAAAAAGGTAGATAGGATTTTTAAGTCCCATATTCTGACGATTTCTCTATTGCGAGTTTGGAAGAAATATTATAGATCAGATTTTAGAATACCGTTGTGGGGAATTCCAGGGCATGCAATAGAAGGGATAAGGAAAGGAGTGAAAATGGAGAGCATTTCTTATAAACAATTGCTTAATTGGGATGGGAATAATTGGCAATTAAAATCTATGGATGAATTAGCGCAAGAAAATATTAATTATTCTTGGTTTCAGTACAGGCAATTATTAGAAAGGTGGAAAATAGATTAAAAAGTGGGTTTTATTAGGGAGGATGTGAATTTGATGAAACAAATTAAAGATCAAAGTCGATCTCATATAAAAAGAGTTTATAGTGTTTTAGTGGAATTGGACTCAGAAACAGAATTAGTTAAAGATTGTATGGTTAAATGGGCTCAAAATTTTGATGAGCCGATTTTATTAGACACATGGGAGATGATTTGGGTGAGGAATGTTAAATTTACTCAAGCTCAAAATTTACGAGAAAATTTTTACAAAATGTTTTATAGATGGCACCTTGATCCACAAAAGATGTCTCGTATGTATCCAAATGTGCAGCCCAAATGTTGGAGATGTGGTTGTTTGGATGCAACATATTACCATATTTGGTGGTCATGTAGAAATATAAAGGTTTTTTGGATTAAGATTTGGTGGAATATTCAGAAGATTTTTAATAGAAGGATAAAATTTACACCACAATTGTTTCTGTTAGGTATTATTGACGATTGTGATGGTAATGAGATTATTTTAATGTTGAATTTAATTACAGCAGCAAGGTTGCTGATTGGGCAATACTGGAAGAAGGATTTTTTGCCTACTTTAGAAGAATGATTTCTTAAAGTTTCTTATTTATCTGAAATGGCAAAAATTTCGGCTTATCTGAAAGACCAGTCGCAAGAGAGATATATTTTGGTGTGGAAAAGATGGGTGAATTTTATACAGAATAAATATGATATTAGAAAGTATTATTTAGCTTTTGAATAATGTATATCTAAGGGTAAGCTTTTGAATAACTTATGTTTAAGGATGGTAATTTCTGTTTTTATGTACTGGAGTTAAAGTGTTTAAAATTTTGTTTTTTGGATGTATGTATAATTGTTTGATGTTCATTTAAGTTCTATGTTTTTTGTTGTTTTTAACCCTGTATTCAGCTCTGGGAAGTAGGGGGGAGGGAGGAGGGGGGGTTGGGAGGGGGGGAGTATTTTATTGTAAAATTTTATAAACTTTCAATAAAAAAAATAATAATAATGTAGGTTAAACTATAGCTAAGGAACTATAGAAATTAATATTGGTAGCTTACCGACTGGGAGAGTGAGAAGGAATCTCAGTAGGTCATTCCTTTGATATGCAGATTCTGAGGTTTTGCTGATTAAAGAAAGTGCCTTTTAAGTTTTACATGTTTATTCAGCTGAATAGAGACAGACTCCTCTAAATGAAGGGAGCAACAAATGACAAGAAATCCTTGTATTTATTCTGTATAATTACATAAGCAACCCATCCAGCAAAGCTGACACACATAAGATAAAGATTGCACCCAGTAAGTCTGGCATACTATAGATAAGAAGGGAGAAAGCAGAATTAGCTAAACATGTTCTCATTTGAGTGTTACTTAAAGATATTGTATGTTCTTGGGTGGGTTAGGACATTGGGTGTTGTCCTTGCTATCCTTTCCTGACCCTGAATCCAGGATTACAAGTGACCAAAGAGAGAGAAGCCATCTATATGTATTCATAATTAATACTGTCCCCTAATTCCTGGTCATCACCTTCCTGCAGAAAAAAAAATCACTAATGTTATATAAGTTGTTCAACACATAAGGGAATATAAAGCCAGAGAAATTGTCTAGATCAGTGGTGGCAAACCTATGGCACGGGTGCCAGAGGCGGCAGTCAGAGACCTCTCTGTGGACACACGCGCCGTCACCCCAGTCCTAGGCCTTCAGCTGGGTTTTATAAAACCTTTTCTTTTTAGGCCTCCACTGCCATGTGCAAAAAAAAAAAAAAAAAGGTTCAATCAGTCAATTTCAACCTCTCGCGGAAAAAAAAAGATCTTGCAAAGTTGGAATTGATTGATTGAACTTTTTAGTCCCCCGTTACTACCGCAGCCACACCCAGCCAATGGGCCACGCCCAGACAATTGGCCACACCCACCCAGCACTTGACGATGCATACTGTAAGTGGATTTTGGGTTGCAGTTTGGGCACTCGGTCTCTAAAAGGTTCACCATCACTGATCTAGATTCTAGAATGTATAAAGGCACCTCAAACATTGATTGAAAATGTGGACAACATGAAGAGACATTTTATCATGCTTGATGGCTGTGTTAAAAAGTTAAAAAAAAATTGGATTCAAACACTTTAATACAGAGGATTTTAAAGATTAATATTAAATGTTTTTATTTTAGGACTAATGGGTAAACAGTTAGAAAAAAGCAATGAAATATTATTTCATTGTATAATTACCACAGCAAGGTTATTATAAGTACAGCAATCAAAAGATCTGACACTACTTACTAGGGAGGAATGATTGGTGAAACTGACGATTTTACTGAGATTAACTTCTTTGATTAGAGAAAATACATGGTCCACATTTATTGGTGACTGGAAACCTTATGGACTTTTAATGATAGCTATTTTGACAAGCAATTTTCTTACAAGGATCTAATAAGCAAGGAAAGTAGCCATTTTTTTTCAAAACTGATATAGATTTCAAGTTTCAAAAGATTCTAAATGATTGAATAGTTAGATGTATAATTATAGATGGGAAATTTCATCCCAAAACTATAGTCCATATATGTTCCTATTCAGGGTCAGGTTGCTTACTTAAAAAATATGAATAGAAAAAACCCCACAATTTTATAATGGTAGGGGGCTGATACATTAAAATCTCAGCCCACAATGTTTAAAAGATTTTAAAATTTAATGCATAGTTATCGATGTATAGATTCATGGGCAATGTTGAATCCTGCAATAAAGGGACATACTTTTTATTCAGGTAGACATAAAAATCCCATGTAGGATAGACTAAATAAGGATATCTAAAACTTTTTCATTTTTTTTTGAAATAAATTAACATTGTACCAACACTTAGATCATTCTCCAGTGATTCTTGGCTTCAAATTAGATGGGATTACATAATTTTCTTACAATTGGCACTTTAATCCTACATTATTATACAGTACAGTGAAGCAACAAAACAAGATTAGGTCAAGCAAATAATATAAATGAGACAACAATAATAATAAATACCACTACTAAAGAAGGATTTATTTAAAAGTCCAGGAAATAGAGGAATTTATATAAAAAGGATTTATTTATAGTACCAATAAGTTAAAGAATGTATTATCTATTTAGTTTTAGCATTTAAAATATAATTATCCCAAACTGGAATGTAACAATTGATATGTTAATCAGATCACCAATTTTTACATTAAAAAGTTAAAATAATGAAACAGCAAAGGCAGGAACAACAATTCTGTCCAGTTTTGATAGTTTGTATAGTTTGTCTCAAAAGCAGTGAATGTTTAGATATATGGTAAATTTATATATGTATAATATCTGATTCTTGACTTACTTTTTAGTATTTTCTCTTTTTTTGTATTTTCAACATCATTTTTCCTGTGCATCATGGATTTATGTCATTTACTTACTTGACAATGGTTGCAGATCATACTTTTAAAAAAGGTTAAAATCCACTAGACTAAATTGATTATGCAAATAGGTGCATAACAAGGGCCTTTGTTCTTTAGTGAACTTTAGAAACAGGCTGAGTCACACACACACACACACACACACATATACACACACACCCGGAAAAATAGCTGCATAGGGTGGGGATGGAGAGTTGTGGAAGGGCTATGAAAAGGTGACAATGTCAAGACAGCAGATTTTGTTATTTAACTAATTGAAATGCGTAATATTAGCCACACCTTTGTGTTACTGGAAAATAAGGTCTGCACCATCTAATCTGAGAGGCTTGCTTTGGATGGTGGAGGGTTGGGCAGTCATAACAAAAAAAAAAATGTTCAAGCTTCCCCCACCCTAACTTTGAAAGAAGAGATGGACAAGAGATGAGACCTGGTCCTTTCCATTGATTCCCCGGCCTTAAGGGTTCTCAAACCTGGAACCTGCACCTGGACTGAGGCTGTGATTCCTAGAATTCCACCCTGCTCATAAACACCACCCAAAAAGAGATGAGCTTCCATTCTTCTAGTGGGGAACACTGAATTAGCAAAAGTGATGGGTACACCTACCAATGGATTTAGAGGACAGGGCTGGCTCCCACCTCCCATTCAGAGTCCAAGTAAACTGAAGGACTATTCCATTAGCGATCTACCCTCTTCTTTGCTTCTCTCCAGAGACATGAAGAAATGGGAGGCAAGCGAGAGGCTGCCATATCTTTCACATGGTGGGGGGGGGGCAACTAAACAAGGCTAACCAGAGAGACACAGCAGCCTATAGGCTTGCCTGCAGGCCAGACTTGGGTAAGGGAGTCTTCTGAATAAATGGAAGAGATGCCTCTAACTCTTAGTTGTCTGACATATCTTCAAAACAAAGTGGGTCCTTGGGCATAACTTTCTCAAATATTACTTCACTTCAGTGCAAAAGAGGCCCAGTTGAAAAAACATGCCAAAAGAGGATTTGTTTGGAATGATAGAGGATAGGAGTGGAGAACACAGTTGAAGAAATGATGCAACGACTGTGAAATCTGGGTTTTCCCAGCATAGCACTGAGCAGTAATGCTAGGTAACTTATTCATTTGCTCCACCACTTCCTATTCTTTTAGTAGTCACAAATTGAGTCACAGTCCTTGGCTTATGATCACTCATTCAGTGATTGTTCAAAATTATGATGGTGCTGAACAAAGGAAACTTACAACTTGTCTATGAAGTTGCAGCCATCACCATATCCCAGTGGTTATGAGATCACTATCCAGGTCCTTGGGTGCTCGGCTTGTGATTACAACATCACAATAAGCTGTGGTCATGTGATCGCCATTTGTGACCTTACCTGCTTCTCCAAAACAAAGTCAACACAAGTTTGCTCCTGCCGCTTTTTCCCTTGAGGAATTTCCAGGGATCTCACACTTTGTAGCACTCCCTGCCTACCAATGCTCCATAGTGTGCACCCACATGCAGTACACCCTACGTGCGCATACTTTGTAGTGCTTACGCACTTGCAGCAAACACACTTGCAGCCCAGCCCAGCCCCATTCCCCAGCATGTGCCTGTAGCCCTCAATGCCCACTCATGGTCCCCAGCACTGATGCATGGCCTTTACCAGCCAGCCTATGCTACTCAACACTCAACCATGTCCCTCATCAACTGGTTCACACTCCTTATAGTTTGCCCAGGGTACCTGTGCATTCCTTCCTGGAATTCCCACCTCTTCCCACTTAAGGATCCGCTATGCCGTCCTTAGGTTTTAATGGCAACCAGGACTGCCATTGCCATGCAATGTGATCACCTGACACTGTGCTTTATTTTGAGCAATCCAGTCCCAATTGCCATCATAATTTCTTTATAGCTTTTATCTTTCTTTTCTATTTTCCCCCAATTTTTTTATGTGTACTTTTTGCTTTCTCTTTCCTTTCTCTGTTTTTCTTTTTTCTCCCTTACTTTATATTAATTTCTATTAGTTTCTATCTACTTGTTTAAAACTCTTAATAAAAATAGGCGCCAATTGCCATCTTAACTGTAAGATTATCTGTAAGAGCTTCACGAGGTTCTTGGATTAAAGGTATCCTCAACTTATTATTGCAATTGAGCCTGAAATTACGGGTTGTAAGTCATTGCAGTTGTAGGTCAAGGCATCACATGACTGATTTTTTTTTTGACATTTTCACAGTGGTTGTTAAGCAAGTGCCAAGGCAATTAAGTAAATCAATTTTCCCCAATGGGTGTTTTTTTACTGGATTATGCTAGAGTAAGAAAAAACATTGTAAATCATGTCACTTGACTGTGGGATGTACTAATGGCCATAAAGGTGACCCAGTTGCAAGTACCCAAAATGTGATCATGTGACCACGGGGGGAGGGCAGGGATGACCATCATAACTTTGAAAAAGGGTCGAAAAGAAAGTAACTCTGGGGATGTCTATCGTAACTCTGAATGGTTGTTAAGTTACCAGTCAGCAGTACACACAATGATCATAAAGCCTTCTAACATAAACCATTGAGATTGTACATCAAAGAGATTTGTCACCTCTGAAAGATAAACTAGGGCATGTCACCCTCAAGTAGCAGATCTGTGTATAAAAAATGCTGGGTATAAGCAGGAGTTCAGAAGTTCAGAAGTAATAAACTATTATCAGTATTAATAGCCACTAAGAGCCTCATGATTTTCCATGAGCAAGGCTAATTTCCTTTGAACACTAACTAAATTACCGCAACTACTGGTAGCAAATTCCACAGTTTAATTATAAATTGTGTTAAAGAAGTTAAGA